CAACAATCTGGGTCCTCATTTTACCCATCTCGGAAGGACGGAAGGCTGAGTCAACCATGAGCCTGGTGAGATTTGAGCTGCCAAACTGCTGGCAGCCGTCACTCAGCAGAAATAGTCTGCAGTACAGGTAGTCCTCGACTTACAACAGTTCGTTTTAGTGACCATTTGAAGTTACAGCGGCAATAAAAAAAGTGACCTATGACCATTTTTCACACTTATGACCATTCCAGCTTTCCCATAGTCACATTCAGATGTTTGACAACTGGTTCACAGTTATGACAGCTGCTGTGTCCCGGAATCACGTTGATCCCCTTTTGCGACCTCTGGACAAGCACAATCAACGGGGGAAACCAAGAACCCCTTAACGGCTGTTTTGAGGAATCTAAGAACTGCAACGATTCCCTTAGCCAACCAATTGGGCACACCCCATTTAACAGTCATGACCACAACGGACCCCCAAATTTATATGGCCGGGTGAGACATTTGGGAGGCGAGTTTTGCCCCCATTTTACGGCATTTCTTGCCGCAAATTTTGAAGGGAATCGCTGCCGTTCTTAAATTGGTAACCCGGATGTTAAGTGAATTCCCCCATTGATTTGGCTCATCGGGTCGTCGCAAAAGGGGACACTGCGACGGTCCTAAATGGGAGTCAAGTTGCCAACTATCTTGAGTTTTGATCAGGTGACCATGGGGACACTCATAAGTGTGAAAAAATGGTCCCAAGTCACTTTTTTTTCGGTGACCTTGTAACGTTGAACAGTCACGAAATGAACTTTCATAAGTCGAGGACCGCCTGTACTCTTCACACAGTTCCAGACCACGAAGGGTGCTGGAGACCAGTGATCTCCAGAGAGAAATCACTTTTTTTCTTTCCTTTTTTTTACAGGACGTGAGGGCCTCTGTCTTTCCACTGAGTGCACACCTTCCTCAGGTGAGATAAGGGCTGGCTGGTACTTCTTTTACGCATCGCTTCTTATAGTTATTCCAGATCTCCCCCACCCACAACCCCAAAACATATAGACCGAGCTCACCCTGTACCGAGCTTCTGGACGGACCATCATGGACATCCTCGCATGCTGACTGAGGGGTCTCTTGTACCCCACAGCGGACACTGGCCTTCTCATCATCTGTTGGTTCCTGGAACGAGGAAGGGGACAGCAGGTCAAATACACAACAGCCTTTCTGTTTGTAAGACACACATACACACCATAAGATTCAGGGAGCCTCTCTGACCACAATGAAGACAATCATTTGTCTGAAATGGTCTAGGGTTTCCTGCCTTAGCAGGGGGTTGAACTAGAGGACCTTCAAGGTCCCTTTCCAACTCTAGTATTCTATTCTATTCTGTAATTTTATTTATATTTCATTCTATTCTATTCCATATTCTATTCTATGATTCTATTTCTATTCTATTCTATTCCATATTCTATTCTATTCTATTCTATTCCATATTCTATTCTATTCTGTAACTCTATTTCTATTCTATTTCTATTTCTATTCTATTCTATTCCATATTCTATTCTATGATTCTATGATTCTATGATTCTATGATTCTATTTCTATTCTATTCTATTCTATTATTCTATTCTATTATTCTATTCTATTCTATTCTATTCTATTCTATTCTATTCTATTCTATTCTATTCTTCTATTCTATTCTATTCCATTCCATTCCATTCCATATTCTATTCCATATTCTATTCTATGATTCTATTTCAATTCTATTCTATTCCATATTCTATTCTATTCCATATTCTATTCTATTCTGTAACTTTATTTCTATTCTATTCTATTCTATTCTATTCTATTCCATATTCTATTCTATGATTCTATTTCTATTCTATTCCATATTCTATTCTATTCCATATTCTATTCTATTCTGTAACTCTATTTCTATTCTATTTCTATTCTAGTCTAATTCTATTCTTATTCCTAATGCTATTCTATTCCTTATTCTATTCTGTTCTTTTATTCTATTCTATTCTTTTATTCTATATTCTATTATATTCTATTTTCTATTCTATTCTTATTCCTAATGCTATTCTATTCCTTATTCTACTCTATTCTATGAATAAAAGTTTAAACCTAAGGCTTTTTGCTTAATAATTGCCACAAAACAGATTGTAAAATCAGGCTGGGTCCCTGGGTAATCCAATTTACATGCAAATTATGCAAATTATGATCATGATGGGCAGGCTCTATTATTTAAAATCAAAGAGTGGCACAATCACCTTGCTGGCTCTCAAAAGCAGAAAATCAGCGAAGGAACATCATGCCTTAAAACGTGGAGATCCGAACGGTAAGCTCCAATAACAGGTAGTCCTCAACTTATGACAACAATTGAGCCCAAAATTTCCATTGCTAAGCAAAACAAGTAAGTTTTCCCCCACCCCCTCCACCCATTTTGCGACCTTTCTTGCCACAGTTGTTAAGTGAAACACTGCGGTTGTGAAGTTAGTACCGTGGCTGTTAAAGTGATCTGGCTTCCCCACTGACTTGTTAGAAAGCCGCAAAAGAGAATCGCGTGACCCTGGGACACTGAGACCGTTGTAAATAGGAGTCAGTTGGCAAGCACCTGGATTTTGATCAGTGACCACAGGGACATTGCAATGGTCGTTAAGTGTGAAAAACGGCCATGGGTCACTTTTTTCAGTGCCGTTGTATAATTTTGAACGGTCGCTAAATGGACTGTTGTAAGTTGAGGGCTACCTGTACCTAAAAACCAGACGTGTCCCTCAACCCTCCAAGAGGAAGATGACTCACTCCAGTCGGGTGATGGGGTGAAGCTTCCACTGGTCCTCCTCCTCGTCAAAGAAGGATCTATTCATGATCTTGTTCTTCTCTTCCAGAGGAATGAAGTTCTCGATGATCAGGTGCCTGTGGGGAGATCGGCAAAGGGCAAAGTGAGATCCGGCGGCCTGGTGGGAATCCAGAAGATCTTTTCCTTGCTGGACTCCCATCTTTCAGGTCGCTCAAGTAAATAAGTTCGTTCTTGTCTCTGGGACAGCTGACCACGGAGTTCCTTCCATCCCTTGTTGTAGACCGGGGTGGGAAACTATGGCTTGGGGACTTCAATTCCCAGAATTCCTCAGGCAGCCATGCTGGCTATGGCCCCTTTATAGCAATAGCACTTAGACTTATATACCGCTTCACAGCCCTCTCTAAGCTAGGGGTCGCCAACCTTTTGGACCTCAGGGACCACCAAACTCATACTTTTAAATCCCACGGACCAGAGACCCTGGAAAAATCCCCCAAAAAGTCTGCAGGAAAATCCCCCACCCCGTTTTCCTACCGATCGATCGTTCTTTATTTGGGATCGCAGAATACTGTCTCCAGCTCCGTTCTCAGGGGGAGACAGAGAGAGAGAGACTTTTGGCTTCATGCAAGGAAAGCAGCAGAAGCCACAGTAATCTTTCTTTCTCTCCCCCAAACTCCACCAGGAATTAGTCTTTGCCAATGCAACCTCTTGAAGCAGGAGGCCTTGCAGGGTCCCAAAGACTCATTTCTGGCGGAGTTTGAGGGAGAGAAAAAAAGACTTTGGCTGCTTTCCTTGCGTGCAGCCAAAAGCAGAAGAAGAAAGAAGTGGAAAGAAGCAGCCCGGTGGCCAGGCCAGGTGTATGGGGCACGTGGGACAAGTTCCCCCCCCTCTGCCCTTTCCCCCCTCCCCTCACTACCTTGTGTTCTGCACAATGCAAGCGACGCAAGCTTTGTGTTCCCGCAGGCCATGTGGGCGGCACAGCCTTGTGTTCCTGCGCAGCCTGGATTAATTGCTTTGGGGTGGGTGACATTTTTCTGCGGACCTCCAAAATTTTCTCGTGGACCACCAGTGGTCCCTGGCCCACGGGCTGGCGACCACTGCTCTAAGCAGTTTAGTGTCAGCCTATTGTCCCCAAATAATCTGGGTCCTCATTTTACCGACCTCGGAAGGACGGAAGGCTGAGTCAACCTTCAGCCTGCTGAGATTGTAACTGCCAAATTACAGGCAGTCGGCAGGCAGCAGACATAGCCCTGCATTACCGCACTCTTAAGCACTGCGCCGCTGCGTTCTTTATGACTTGTGGACTTCAACTCCCAGAATTCCTGAGCCAGCCATGCTGGCTATGGCCCCTTTATGACTTGTGGACTTCAACTCCCAGAATTCCTGAGCCAGCCATGCTGGCTATGGCCCCTTCATGACTTAGCATGGTTGGCTCAGGAATTCTGGGAGTTGAAGCCCACAAGTCATAGAGGGGTCATAGTTCCCCATCTCTGCTCTAGACCTTAAAACAGTAATACATGGTTAGTTGGAACCTACTTCAGCTTGAGTTCCCGGGTCAGTTCGTTCTGGGTTTGTTCCAGTTCTTGTCTCTCTTTGATGTGCTCCTCCTGCAGGTCGTGGATTTCGGCCTTCACAGCTTGCAGCTTAGAAAACAGCTGAAAGAGAGGAATACAGTTGTACAGCATGACATGGACAAGACTACCTTTGCACAAAAGACTCTGTATGTGCAGTGGTTAGAATGCCGTGTTGCAGGCTGACTCTGACAGCAGTTCGATTCTGACTGGCTCATGATCGATTCAGCCTTCCCTCCTTCCGAGGTGGGTAAAATGAGGAGCCAGATTGTTGGGGGCAAGAGGCTGGCTCTGTAAACTGCTTAGAGAGGGCTGGAAAAGCACTGTGAAGCAGTATATAAGTCTAAGCGCTATTGCTACCTTCCTGCCTTTCACATTTCCTTCCTTCCTCCTTCCTTCCCTCCCTCCCTCCCTCCCTTCCTTCCTTCTTTCTAAAGGTTGACTCAGCCTTCCATCCTTCCGAGGTGAGTGAAATGAGGACCCAGATTGTTGGGGGCAAGAGGCTGACTCTGTAAACTGCTTAGAGGGCTGGAAAGCAGTGTGAAGTGGTATATAATAAGTCTAAGTGCTATTGCTACCTTCCTGCCTTTCATATTCCCTCTCTCCTTCCTTCCTTCTTTCTAAAGGTTGACTCAGTCTTCCATCCTTCCAAGGTGGATCAAATGAGGACACAGATTGTTGGGGGCCAGAGGTTGACTCTAAACTGCTTAGAGAGGGCTGTGCAGTCCTGTGAAAGCGGTATATAAATCTAAGTGCTATTGCTACCTTCCTTTCACATTACTTTCCTCCCTCCCTCCCTCCTTTCCTTCCTTCTTTCTTTCCTTCCTTTCTTCCTTCCTCTCTCTTTCTTTCCTTCCTTCTTTCTAAAGGTTGACCCAGCCTTCCCTTCTTCCGAGGTGGGTGAAATGAGGACCCAGATTTTTGGGGGCAAGAGGCTGACTCTGTAAACCGCTTAGAGGGGGCTGGAAAAGCACTGTGAAGCGGTATATAAGTCTAAGCGCTATTGCTACCTTCCTGCCTTTCACATTTCCTTCCTTCCTCCTTCCCTCCTTCTCTTCCTTCCTTCTTTCTAAAGGTTGACCCAGCCTTCCCTCCTTCCGAGGTGGGTGAAATGAGGACCCAGATTGTTGGGGGCAAGAGGCTGGCTCTGTAAACTGCTCAGAGAGGGCTGTATGTAAGTCTAACAAGAACACAAGCTCAGAGAGCATCAAGGGCCCAAAGTACTCCTTCTCCTCTTCCTCCTCCCTCTTCTCCATCCCCCATACCAATATCCTCCTTTATTTGTGTCACCTTTTTCAGTTTCTTAGTTTTGATGTCCACTTCCTGCTGTAAGGAGCTGTAGGTCTCCTTCAGCTCCAAGGTTTCTTCATCCCGACTTTCCATTTGCTGTTGGATTTCTCGTTCCCGTCGTTTCTGTAGGACACAAGACAAGACATTCGTTTCAAGCTTTCCAATTCACCAATCTCTACACTTCTGTTCTTTGTTAGTGAACCATTCAGAGGGGACACTCAACTTGGTTGAAGAATTAACTCATTTCCTAAGAAGGAGCTCTTTATTCCAAAGTAAATATCAGTGAACTAGCTCCATACCCGTTCTTCGCGATGAAACTATGTGGTGGGGCGTAGTTTTGGGGGGAGGAAAAGAAGGAACAGAAAATTCTGGCTCTGCCTACCAGCACCCATCGGTATTCACCTGGCTAGTGTCCTGTCAGTGTGAGGGAGAGTGGAGGGCTGTTTGGAAAATGAAACAGTATTTGCTGTGCGAGCAAGGAGATAGCAAGGAGCCGGGGCGTGGCTTAGCTCAACTGTTCTGTACTAAAGCTGGTTGCTGCTGTGAAACTGAAACGGAAACTCCTCTCCTCTGCTTGTGTTTTGCATTTGGAACAGATTTCTTTCCAAGTGGGGAGGGGGAGTAGAACTCCTAAGCATCAGAGCGTAATAATAATAATAATAATAATAATAATAATAATAATAATAATAATA